TCTCCATGCAGCAGGCATATTCTTTTAAACACACCAACCTCACTCCCATCTCAGGCTTTTGCCTCTGCCAGTCCACCTGCCTGTGACACTCTTTCCCCAGATCTCTCCATGTCTCACTCCCTTACTTCACTCAGACCTCTGCACAAATATCTTTTCAGAAAAGGCTTCTCTGACTTCTCTACTTAAAATAGTCCCCCTCATCCATTCCCCTACCCTCCCTACTCCCTTTACCTGAAGAGGTGGGGTCCAGGACTCAAATAGAGGGCAGGACAATCCATCTATTGTAAGAGGAAGGAAGGCAGAGGATATATCATGGATATAGATGAAGCTCACTTGGTGAATTCTGTGAAGGAAGATTGTTTACTTCTGTTTAGTTCATTTTCTCAGTGAAGTGAGAATGTCATCCATCAGCTGATAGTGAAGGTGGAGGATAGAGATTTAGAGGTTTGCAAAGAGAAGGGAAGAAAGGAATCTAGTATTTTCTAAATCACAATAATCCTAGTGTAAATTAGCACTCCAGACATATTGACATCTGAAAGCAGGACCATAGGAGGTCTTTCAAATCATATCACACATCAGTGATCTACCCCACCTATAATAGGGTTGGCTCTGTCCCCACTCTCTGCATGTTTCTGAATCCAGATAGAGGAGATGCTGAGGCAGGAGCTTTAGGTGGGGACCCTGCCTTCAGATGAGTCACTCAGCTCTGGCAGGAGGACTAGGCTTCGGGGGATCAGCTGAGCTAGCTGAGGAACTCTTTCTGTTCTTGTAAGGCCCTCATCCCTGTATCACACTTAACGCTTTTCTTCTGTCACCTTCAAAAGGTTTTAGCAACCAAGGAGCACACAGCCTGATCCCTGATGGTAAAAGAGGACACAAAAGAAGTCTGCTTGCAAGGAAGCCATCTGCCAGCAGGAATCACGCTGGTAGGACCGAGGAAGGCACTCAAGAATTCGGTTCTATGTCTAAGAAAAGCATCTGCAATCAACTTCACTTCATTTTTGAGTTTAGTGTCTGTATGATAATTAAGAAATGACAATACCATGTATTGACAGTTACTGCAAATGTATTTTACCCAGAAGTTAAGAAATATTGCCTGTAAGATCCAATAAAAATAATAGCTAGCTTACTGAGTGCCCATCTCGGTTCACTTGGTCTTTCCCTAAATTAAAGTGTGTTCCCTGTGGTCAGGCACTCTTAAAATCCACACCTACATATACTTCCCAGGTTTTCCCAACAGTCTAGAAAATTCAGAAATTCACTTTTGAGTATGATTACCCATTTGCTTCACAGGAAGACGTGGTAGGGCAGCATTTTGTTGTCCTCAGGCAAAGGGGCACTAAAAATCATTCCTCCTTCTAGTTGGCGCCCTAGCTCATGCAGATAAATGGTAAATTCTCTCTAGTATTAACTTACATGACCTCAGTTTATTAAAAAATAACAGGGCGGTGTTGGGTTGGGCGGTTGAAGGCCCACGTGCGCGGGTGGAGGGACCGGGGGACGGCGGGCGGGGCGCGGAGCCGGGCCCTCCTCCTCTCTGACCTCCCTCCTCGGCCGCAGGAGAAAGGGATGGGGGGCTCTGGTGTAAACACAGCGCTTGAATTGGTTTTTAAAGGACGCATCCTTTCCCCTCCGGGAATAATCATCCCGGCCTCGGCCCTGCGCCGCCCGGGACGCCCCGGGAGCCCGAGGTGGGCAGCGCGGCCGGCCGGGGCAGCCCCT